TACTTACCGAGCGTAACGCGCCATAACATGATTTGGATTCAACTCGAGGACGCGTGAGAAGTCGCTGTGGGCGTCGTCTACCCGGCCACTCTTGAAGAGCGCCATACCACGACTGAATCGTCCGTGGATATCGTCTGGACGGCAGCGTAGTATCTCTGAAAAGTCCAGTACTGCTTGATCCCACAGCTTAGCTTTCATGCAGGCATGGCCCCGTACAGCACGAGTGTGCAGACAAGACGGGTCTACTTCCAGCACTTCATGACATTCGCTGATCAGCCGATGGATGTCGCGGAGACCAGAATCTGATCGCGAGTCTGACGACGCCGAAGAACTCATATTCTACTGGAGCCGCCACGCGTTTTTAGTCACTCAAACATCCTGTAACCCAAGCAATTCTGGCCCAGAATAGCGCGCGGGCAAGTCGAACACGTTGACTGTCTTATGACGTACCGGGGTACTACCCCGTCAGCTTGACCTGCGTATCTTTCAGTAGCACCAAAGGGCTACGATTCGCAGACGGAGGGGAAGGGCGCTTGCCTCTAAACCACCGGACCGTCGACTCGCGGATCTTAGATCGCCGGAGCGTTTTGCGATACATGCGCAATACGACGACGGCTTTGTCACACAAGGCCTCGCTTAACGATGAAGTGCATGTTGCTTGCTGGCAATGACTGGTTCCTGCATCGCGCGTTCGCGATGTCCTTGGGCATCGTGATGGTTTGAAGGAGAGTCTCTAGTGTCTGCACAAGGCACGATTAAAGCACCGGCTGGTTCTAATCACCGGCATTGACGCTCCACCGAGAGACACATCGATCGAGCTCGCGTCGCCCCCTGCTTGTTGTGCTTACGTCGAGCTCTCCATGGCAATCAAAGCGGCATGAAACGCCTTTACCTACTGTATCCAGCGAGGTGCGATTGGCACTGGAGCAAGTGTGGCTCGCGGTGGCCCAATGACGCCGTATTCACTCTATTCAAATAGAGTCTATTGTGTGCGTCTAAAGAGCAGGTTTCGCTCGAAAGTTTCACGCGTAAGGACTCGTCCTGCACCAAAAAACGCGAAGGTTTTCCATGAAAGATCAACTAGCGCCGACGTGGGGCTTTCACCAGTCCAGACGGCGCTGCCGTCGGAGCAGATGTCCAAAAGCTCTCCCATGTCCAAACTTCCCCACGAATTCCATGAAACTTCACTTTGGGTGGATCAAATGGTCATCTGTGCGATGGCGCGAGTCGCACTTGGCGAGACGCGGCCCTGGTATAGTTATCAGCGAGGACAGTCCCATGAATATATCTCCAAATCATGCAAGTTTTGCGTTTTTCGCGGCATGCGAGGCTGCAATGTGGCAGAATCTAAAAGAGGGATCGGACAGGAGCCATCTCGACTTCGGGGTGGCTATTTTCGCGTTGGAAGTCCGCTCCTTGGGGGCGGACGATGAGCTGCCGTGGAGCTTTGATGTTGATGCATGTGGGTTTTCATGATGCCACCTTTGGCAGCCTTCAATACGCGTGCTTGGAGCTCATGGAGCTCCTGCGTCCGGCTGGTATCGCACGCAATCTGCGAGCGCGCACGCCACAACTTCTCGCCGTTCGAGCAGATCTCTCTGGACACCTCGGGCCCTTTAATTTCCGAGTCTTCCAAGACATTACAATACCCAGCATCACAATCTGCGCCAAGATTGTTCGAATCGCACGCTCTTTTTCGCGTCGTACAGTTGTAAGGATGTCGTTCGTACAGCAAAAGTGTGACACCTTTTTCGACGGGGTATCAAACCTTACAGTTAAATGTTCGATACAACTGGGGCTTTAAGTGAAACCGTATCAACCGTTTTATTTAGTATCACAGGGTTTTAATACAGTAGCACTGATGTCAATTTTGTCCCATCGCCTGCTCTGACTCCTTGCGAGTCAGTCCAATGTGCAACCGTTACCGCGATCCTCGCCTGTCTAACTGCTGTTGCCTGCTGCAGCTCGTGGGTGAAATATCCTCCTTGTCTGTGGCTTTGTCAGCTCGTCGCCGCGTCAGGATCATTCTGCAATCTGCTCGCTGGCACCAACTGCCTGCCTGACTGCTTCTCTACTTTAGAGACACTCCACTCCCCCCACAGATCCTCAACATGGTTAAGGTGGCGATGCCCGCGAAGATCGCTCTGGCTACGTGCCTGTACGCGGCGGCGGCCTCGGCTGAGACCGTCAACTTCATCAACAAGTGCTCGTTCCCCATCGAGCTGTACCACAGCCAGTCTGGCTCGGCCGCTTCCAAGGTGGCCGACATCCCCGTCGGCAGCTCGCACACGGAGGACGTCACCGGCCCCGCGCACATGTACCGCCACACTGCTGACACGTCGGCGACTCTGGTGGAGCTGGCTTGCGATGGAACTCTGTGGTACGACCTGAGCGTCATCCCTCCCATGCCTGGCTACTGCTCCAGTTACGAGGAGTGCAAGAAAGGCGGCAAGAAGGGCTTCAACGTGCCCATTTCGATCCAGCCCAAGGAGAACATCGGCAAGGGCACGTGCTCCGCTCTATTCTGCGCCGCTGATGACAAGCAGTCTTGCGCTGATGCCTACCACTTCCCCATGGACAACATCAAGACGCACAGCTGCCCGGTCGGCACCGAGTTGGACGTGACGTTCTGCCACGCCGACGGAGGTGACCAGACCCAGCAGCAGGACCAAACTCAGCAGCAGGACCAGACCCAGCAGCAGGACCAGCACCAGACTGACCAGTCTTACCCTGCGTCCACGACGGCTGCTCCTTCTCAGGAGGAGCGTGGCGCCACCCAGGATGGCTCCCAGCAGCAGCAACAGCAGCAGCAGCAGCAGGATCAGGGCACGGTGCAGAGCTACGCCGCCCTGGGCAAGGTCAAGGCCAAGTACGAGTACAAGGGCAAGAATGCCGGTAACGTGCCTGGCTCGTACAACCGCGTGACGGACTTGGGCAGCTGTACGAAGGAGCCCGTCCAGGTTAACAGCCCCGTCGGCCCCATGTGCGAGCCCGTGAGTCTGATCTTCCGTGGCCCTCTGGAGATCCACAACATTGCCGTGTACTCGGACGAAGGAGGCAACGGATCGTGGCCCCGTGTGTCTTCGTACTCGAGCAAGGACGGCACGGTGGACAACTTGACGTTCATGAACAACAAGAACATCGATTACTCTGGCCAGAACAAGCACGGCCCGCAGGGTTACGCTTCGGCTGACGGCAAGGACAAGGCTGACGAGCCCACAGTCTTCTCGGGTGAGCTGGCTGAGGCTTCGGACCCCACCAAGATCGGCGGTGGCCCCGGTATCTCGACGGGCGTGGAGATCAACATCATGACTGGCGAGAAGTGCAACGGCGACTGCCTCGGCTTCTCGGGCGACAACGACTACAAGGGCTGGGGCGGCGGTAAGAAGGCATTCGTGACGGAAGTCAAGATGCCCAAGGGCACCACGCCCGACCAGCCGGCCATCTGGATGCTCAACGCCCAGGTGATGCACTCGAACCAGTACGGCTGCAACTGCCGTGGCATGGGCCCCGTGGGCGGCTGCGGTGAGCTCGACATTGCCGAGGTCATTGAGACGAACATTAAACGCGACAAGGTGACGACGCACTACTACTTCTACGACGGTACGGTGCTGAGCCCCGGCGGCGACAACTTCGCTCCTCGCTCGTACGACTCGAACACGATCTATTTGACGCTCATTGACGACTCGAACGACGGTCTGATCAAGATCGTGGAGCTCGAGAGCTTCGACTTCTCGCAGACGGATCTGGGCTCGCTCTACCAGCAGCTTGTGGACTGCTAAGCTACCGCGACGTGCTCGTCTAGATGAAGCGACGGAGCGTCACAGTGTCTATATACTATCCATGCGTAGGAGCGGCAGTTTTTACAAATACACGAGCCATTTTGATTCTATGCTTCCCAGTTTTTATTCCAGTCGTCATTTTAATTTTTCAGAGGTAAAAAAATGAAATGCTTAAAAAGTTGACTTTAATTTTTTTTAGGTGAAAACTGCATGAAGTGTCAAGTACAAGTAAAATTGAGTGAAATGACTGGTCAAGTTTCATGACAAAATTTAAGATGATCGATGCAGATGTACTAATGAAAAATCCCCACAACTCCATCGAGCCACGGAGTGCTGAAGACAGAGATGGAAGTATTGGAAGGCATTTCATTTTCTTGTTAGCTCTGGCGATTACCGTGATCCTACACCTACACAACAATTCCGTCCTTGCTGCACTTATTAGAGCCTCATCAACTGTAGATTCAACAGCAGTTCTAGCCGATCCAGTTCCTTTACTGCGAGGTTCATTGCTGCGCCGTTTTCAAAGCCATCCAAACACCATTTGTGGTGATAACTAGGATGATAAGACCAACAAGCAATTCGATTTGTGCTGTGTTGCTGGATATTTTCAGCGTGAAGTTATTTCTCAGCAATATTAGAAATACTTACCGTTGTCTTTCTTAAGCTGTATTAGATTCCACACGAGTAAAATAAAGTCAAACGATGCTGAGTATCGCGACGTAAACAAGCGAAAAAAATTGATGAAGTGATTTATCACAACAGGTGGATGAAAGTTGATTTTTTTAATCTAAAATGTTTTTCTTAAACAAAACGCTTCTGGTTGAAAAAAGCAACGTTGTAACTTACTTTAGTAGAATTTAGATTCCTGTATCCTATATTTTTCTACACACGTGAAACTTTGCACAACCGTAACGAGGCTATGCCCAATCACATCGTGCCACGACTGTAATGACCTGCAAAGCTGCATGGTGACTGTAAAGCCATTTCGCAAGCTCAATTTTTAGTGGCGTCAACACAGGAGATTGTAATCGGCACGAAATGACGAAACAGCTGGAGCCATTTGTTTACACTGGGCAATGTTGATGATAAGCCGCTTCATCATGTACAACCTGGGGGGTATGCGTCAGTGAGTGGAGAGCGTCGCAGTTTGTATGCGCTGGTCTTGTGCTCCACCAACGCAACTTCACGAAAACTAGCGACAGGTTCGTGTTTGAATATCGGCGTCGCTACCAACCATTCCGCAATTTGCCCGCAAACCAATACAACTACTTGTAGCATTTATCCATCTACGCACGCGGCCATCCCATGCCCAATTTGGACAAGTCCAAGAGGATGCCCAACGATGATGGATCATACCAACGACTGGAGACGGCACGCGCAGTAAATGCTGCCGGTGCTGATGAAGCGTTTGCTGTGAAGGACTGCGGTACCGTTGAATCCAGAAGTTCCAATTCCGAGACCGACTCAACAGAAGGAGACAATTCTTCCTCCTTCGCGTTCACCGATCTGTATCGTTACGCGACTGCCATGGACAAGGTGCTGCTAACCGTCGGTATCATCACTACTGGAGCTAACGGTGCACTGTTCCCATTCATGGCAATTGTTTTCGGTGATGTCCTTACGGGGTTTGGAGACGTCCCAATGGATATGGACGCAGTCAACAAGGGTGCACTCGACTTTGCTCTCATCGCGGTGGGTCTGTTTGTCACGGACTACTTGTCCTACGTATCATTCTACTACAGTGCGGAGCGTCAGATGAAGGCACTACGAAGCGAGGCACTCAAGCGCATGCTGTATCTGGACATAAGTTGGTACGACAAGAACGACGCACTGCAACTATCCAGTCGACTGACAGGGGACACGGTGAAGATCAAAGACGGCATGGGTCAGAAGCTCGGCGACTCTATCCGCTATACGATACAGTTCATTGTAGGCTTTGCTATTGGTTTTGTGCGTGGTTGGGATACGACGCTGGTCATGGCCTGCGTTATCCCTTTCACCACCTTATCGATGAGCTGGGTCATCAACACAATGCGTGTTAAAGCTGAGTGGGCCCAGAAAGTGTACGCTGAGGCTGGCTCAGTGGCCGAGGAGACTCTGGGGTCTATCCGTACGGTTGCTTCGCTCAATGGCGAGAAGAAGGCGATCGCGAAGTTTGAAGACAAGGTTTTGCTAGCGGAGAGAGAAAACATCGCGATGCACAAGACGTCGTCCTTGGTGCTTGCTGGGTTCCTTAGCAGTACGTGGGTTATGCAAGCGGTTGGCCTCTGGTATGGTGGGTGGAAGGCTTCGCAAGGCGACACCACGCCGGCAGACGTGTTCGCTGCGTTCTTCGCCGTCATGATGGGGACTGGTTCATTAGGACAAATCTCTCCTAACATTACAGCCGTGTCGACGGCAATTGGAGCAGCCAGAGAACTCTTTGCCATCTTAGACACTCCAAGCACCATCAATTCCGAGAACCTAGACGAAGGCATCATCCCCGATTCGTGTGAGGGGAAAATTGAAGCTATCAACGTCAACTTTGCATATCCGAGCCGTCCTGATGCTCAGATTCTCCGCGACTATTGCGTTACCATTGAGCCTGGTCAAACCGTGGCGTTCGCAGGATCCAGTGGTGGCGGGAAGAGTACTTTGATTGCACTCTTGGAGAGGTTCTACGACCCCAACAGCGGTGCGATCTACCTTGATGGTCGGGATGTCAAGACGCTGAATGTCAAGTGGTTGCGTTCGCAGATCGGTATGGTCTCCCAAGAACCGGTGCTGTTTGCAACGACAATCTTCGAGAACATAGCTATGGGTGGAGATAACGTGACCCGTGAAGAAGCCATCGAGGCGTGCAAGCTGTCGAACGCGCACAACTTCATCATGTCGTTGCCGGAGAACTACGACACCCTGGTTGGTGAGAAGGGCGTATCGCTGTCTGGTGGCCAGAAGCAGCGCGTGGCGATTGCTCGTGCTATCGTTCGTAAGCCTAGTATTCTGGTGTTGGACGAGGCTACGAGTGCTCTAGACAACGAGAGTGAGAAGATTGTGCAGCAGGCATTGAACGATTTGATAGCCTCAACGAACATGACAACCTTAGTGATCGCCCACCGATTGAGTACCATTCGTAACGCAGACAAGATCGTCGTGCTGAAGGAAGGGCGCATTGTGGAGAGCGGGACACACGATGAATTGCTGGAGATTGCGGATGGAATGTACCGATTAATGCACCATACCCAAGAACTTGGCTCTAAAAGCGAACAAGAAGAAGAAACCAGTGGCTCCAGTGGAAATGAGGTTATCTGCAACTCCATGGCGCGTAGTATGAGTGTGGTGTCAGCGAAGACGGACATTTCGGTGAGTGATGTGGAGACGAATGCGCTTGACAGGAAGCCATTCGGGCTGAAGGATGTGGCGAAGGTTAGCCAACCCGAGCTCCGTTATTACGTAGTTGGTCTCATTGGTGCCTGTGTTGGTGGGATTCTCACCCCGGTGTCAGCGCTGCTAGTAGCTGAAATGATCACGTCGATGACGGAAAAGTTTGGGCTGTACGAGGACTCGGGAGACAAATCATATCTGAGTGAGCTGTACGACAATGTGCAGCTCTGCGGCATTTTGTATCTCGTTGGCGCGGCGGCGATCCTGCTGTTTACGTACATGCAAACGTACAGCTTCAAGTTTATCAGTGAGAAGGTCACGACTCGGCTACGTAGCGCGAACTTTGAGGGTCTGTGCCGACAAAACGTGGGCTTCTTCGACGAGAAGGAGAACGCGACGGGTGCATTGACGGCTGACCTAGCTACGAACGCCGTCAAGGTCGCTTTGGTGTCCGGTGACTCTCAGGCGCAACTGTGGCTGGCCATCTTCACTGTGTTCGCTGCGCTTGTCATTTCGTTCGGGTTTGGCAGCTGGCTGTTGTCACTGATCCTCATGGCGATCCTGCCGCTACTGGCCTTTGGAATCTTGGTTCGCATGAACGAGATGGAGGGGAACTCCCTTATCTCCGACGACTTGGCGGTTCCTGGTGCTCATGCGTCGGAGGTTCTCGGTAACATCCGAACGATTGCAGCTCTGGGCCTCGAGCAAAAGTCTGTCGACATTTTCGATGAGCTGCTAGAGGAGCCACTTCGCAAAGGCAACAAGGAAGCCCAAGTCAACGGACTGTCTCTAGGCTTCAGCTCCTTCATCTTCATGGCTACCTACGCGTTCATCTTCTGGTTCGGAGCTAAGAAGGTGAACGATGGCACCATCAGCATGTCCGACATGATGCGCACACTCATGGCCATCATGATGTCGATTCAGGCGGCGGGCAGTGCGTCCAAGTTTTTTGGCGATGCACCCAAGGCTTTCAAGGCTGGCTCAACCATTTTTGCGATCCGTGATCGCGTAGTTCCAATTGATTCGTTCAGTCCCGACGGACTTCGTCTAGCACAGATCGAAGGTCATCTGGAGTTCAGAGATATCTCGTTCCGGTACCCTACTCGTCCGGAGATCAACGTGCTGAAGCACTACAACCTCACCATCGAAGCAGGACAAACTGTCGCGTTCTGTGGCCCAAGTGGTGGTGGCAAGAGCACCATTATCTCGCTCATCGAGCGCTTCTACGACCCCGTGGCTGGCGAGGTGTTACTGGACGGTCATAACATCAAGGACCTGAATCTCAACTGGCTACGTAGTCAGATCGGTCTCGTCGGACAGGAACCCACGCTGTTCATCGGAACCATCGCTGAGAACATCTCGTACGGCTTGGCAGAGCAGCCGAGTCAGCAACAGATCGAGGACGCTGCGAAGATGGCTAACGCGCACGACTTCATCTCCAAGTTCCCGGACGGCTACGACACTCAAGTGGGCACGAAGGGCGAGCAGTTGTCAGGCGGCCAGAAACAGCGTATCGCCATCGCACGTGCTATCTTGAAGAACCCTGACATCTTGCTACTGGATGAGGCGACGAGCGCGTTGGACTCGGAGAGCGAGAAGGTGGTGCAGGAGGCTCTGGACAATGTTGTGGCGTTGAAGCGGCGCACCACGATCATCATTGCTCACAGGCTATCGACGATCCGCAAGGCGGACCAAATCTGTGTGGTGAGCGGCGGCAAGATCGCGGAGCAAGGCACGCACCAGCAACTGATGCAACTTAACGGCATTTATGCTGGACTAGTGACGTCTGCATCATCTTAGGCAAAGTTGAAGTTGTTGAAGCTGAAAATAATGTGTTGTCCACACCATCACGCTACTGTTACTTTTTGTTGGTCATTCTGAAAGGGGCAATGTCAACTTCGGCGTCCATAGCTTTTCGTCTCCTTTGGCTATCGAGCTTGTGCGCTGTGTTGGTATCGCCGGATAACTCCTTCCTCCCGTTACGTCAAGCTACGGATGGTCCACACTTCACTGTAGCGTCGGACGACTGGAGCTGTTTTCCCGAACAAGCTCCAGTCATTGACACGACGGATGCTTTCTACCGCTGGGTCGCGGCCTTGAAGACGACGGCCCCACGGTTCGAGGGCCATCACGACTATTTGTGCGACGGCAGTATGAAAAATTACCAAGCATGGGAGAATTGCTTACCGATCACGACGAGGTTTGACGAGGAAGAGTGCGCAGGTGCTGATAGGACAGACCTGTTGATGCAGACGCGAACGCCGTGCCAAGCCAGTGTGCTGCATATGCTGCTAGTAGACGTGTACGCGGAGTTGGAGCGGGCTGGAGGTGATCCCGCACTTGTATTCGGGACACTACTAGGAGCAGTTAGGGACGGAGGGATCATCCCTTATACTGAAGATGTGGACGTAGGATATCAGCTACAGAATGACCCGATGCCTGTCGTGATAAGGAGACTGCAAGCTAAGGGGTATCATGTTTTCATGGATAGTATCTGGAGGGTTTGTGTAGCCCCGACGCATCCGTTAGCTGCGAGATTGTATGACCCAGCACTGACAGCTCCAATTGAGTCCTGCACGGGGCCATATCTTGATCTCTATCGAATGGAACCAGACCCAGAAGTGGTAGATCACTGGACCATCGAACACACAAAAAGAAGAACCGATAGTATCCCAGTTGAGAAGATTTTGCCGTATTCGAAGGTAAAGTTGAATGGAGTTGAGTACGACACTGTCGCTGATCCTGTGGCTTTCTTAGTGGAGGAGTATGGATCCTCATACTTGAGACCAATAAAATTATCGAAATGGAATGATTTTTTTTAAACTTATTTGGAGTTTCTACCTGTTAGATAAAATTAATATCTTAAGAATATTCACGATACAGCTTGAACAGCGTCAAGGACAGACCGAGAACGCCGATAACGACGCCCGCGCCGAGCATAAGTAGTGGGCCCGTGTGTTCACGAGTAAACATGGGGCCTGTCGACTGCAGTAGGAAGAACAACGCCGGCATAATGAAGATCAATAGCGATCCCGAGACGGATCCCACGATACTTAGAGGAATCTTGACTGACGGTACGAAGATACTGCACGTCAAGATGAGTATCAGACTCACCACTGTGACTCCAATATACTCCTTGTACGTCGCCTCATGACTGGGAGTCTGTACGCCGTTCTTCACTCGCAGATACACGCTCAATACGCACGAACGGAATGGCCACATGGCAATTGGAGTGGTGAGTACCAACGCCAGAGCCATACACAATTGTCCGATCAGTAGAGGCACCTTCACCGACTTATGGTGAGCCACATACTCAGGCGAGAAATTCAGCAGGATATTGTCCTTAGTCTCCGATCCAAATTGCAGATATCCACACAGCGAAATAACTTCATACAGTACAAACGCGACGCTGATAGCACCAATGACAGCACGGTTCATCCTGGGTAAAGTCCGGTCTTTCAGTTCTTCGTACACTGGCAATGCCGTGTTGTGGCACGCGAACGCAGAGATAAGCAGCGTCACTGTGTAGACACTACCCGGATCTAGACGCACAGCTTGCACACCTGGCCCTATCGACGCTCCATCGGCATTATACGCAGCTAGGAACGCCACAACCACGAACGCCACGACGTAGCCGATAGACAGGATGGCAAGCACTGATGCAAGCCACAGTTTGCCAATACGGCGACTCAGTGACAAGGGAAACACGACAATTGCGACCAGCGTGACTGTGATCATCCACTTGTCCTGCATCGATACGGACAGCACGGCGGCGCACAAGTCCGTGACGAAGATCAAGTAGCTCACGAGTGTGCCAAAACCTCCGAAAATGAAGGTAAACTCAGCCAATCTGGTGCCGAATGCGCCCATAGTGAAGTGGCCGAGACTCTCGTACGTCTTAGCGCAATTGCTACCGGCCCGGTCGCTCGCTGATAGCAATAGATGCACCGAATACCGCGTGATCATGGCGATCGCTAGCATAATAGCGTTGCCAAGCAGCCAGCCGCTCGACGCGATGGCGAACGGTACAGCGAGGGTGCCTGATCCCAAGATAGTGTTGGTCAGAGTGAATGTAGAGCCCCAAAGCGAGCTGGTGCCGCGTGGCTGCTCCTTCTGGACATCTGCAGACGCTGTTTTGTGCATATCGATGGCGTAGGACTGCTCGGCTAACAGGTGATCGGACTCCTTGGCGAATCCCTGCACTTGTCCCGACGTGACACGCGGGCTGGCCACATATTCGCCCATGGAGACGGAACGCGGCGCGCAGTCGCATTGGTGCTTGAGTGTATCGATGATGTCGCGCGAGCCGCGCTTGACGGGCGAGAAGGTGATGCCGCACGTGTGCACGACGGACAACTGCGGCTCCATCAATACGGGCCGGACGGGCTGCGGGGCCATGGCGACGGATGTGTGTACGTGTCTAAAAGAAGATGAAGAATGGAGACTCTCTGCCTTGCGCACGCACTCTTGCAGGAGGTGTCAAGTTGGAAAGTGAGCCTTTTTCGTTTGGGTGAATGCAGTCCGACCACAGACAACGACTTGGAGTTTGTATGTGACGTTTGACGTTGGCCGTTTTATGGCAGGAGTTCATGCAGAGTGATGGTGAAATCTGCACTGCATAATAATCGTGCTGTCTCATCAGCAGAATAATTGGAGACACAGCCAGCGAGTGCAGTCAAGCTGCTGGAGTACGGTTCGGTCAGTACTTGCTTGCTCTCAGGTCAGGATACAACTGCGTCGACGTTGCTTGAGGCAGGATCGCAGGTTGTGAGTTCCTGGGTGGTGCTGCATTATATCCAATTGAAGCAGTTAAATGAAACATCCAATCACAGTGCTGCAAAAGTGAGATTTTCGTGACACCGTCAAATGAAGCCATTTCATTTGGAACACGTCACTCCAATACAGCGATATGATTCGTGGTTTTGTTCGGAGCACGGATTAGCTTAAAATTCAGTTCTTTTGACCTATCCGATACAAGATATCAGTAGCCATGAAGACGTCATCATTGTCGAGCTTGATGTCGATCACCGAAATGTTGAATAAAAATAAAATACAAGTAATCTTTTCAATGTTTGTTTTTTTAATATGAAGAAAAAAATTAAAATGTTGTAACGAATTCACAGAATAGAAGGCCCTCACATATCGTGACCCGGTTTCAATTTAGAATTGGAGCCAAAACCAAAGCTGTGTACATATTAGCATCCTGCTCAGTAGAAGATGCAATCGTATGATTGAAGGAGTGCTGTCATCCACAAAACCAGGTTCCTAGTGCATTTGTATCGAAAGACATATCTTGCTTATATTGTAAGTTATATTTAAGAACCTGTTATTTATGGGGACAGAGTAAGTGCTCTAAGATTTCCTCTCCTCCGTTCATTCACCACATTTAGTAACCCTGCACTGTTTAGAAACCTTCTTTTCAAAAGTCTTATTTTTTTTTTTAGCAATACAGACAACGACAGATAAAACAAGAAAGCGGCATTACATAGCATCTTCCATAGTAACGCAGTGACACTTTAATCCAATTAAATTCAAATATTTTGAAATATTTACCCAATCATGTATACACTACAATTAAATGGTTATGATAAAACTGCACCACGCAACACCTTAACCTTTGTATTACATGCTTACTTTTCATTCTGCAAAATGAACGACTCTCCCCCCAAGAAAAAGACGAAACAGCGAAGTTACAGTGTCCGCGAGAAGCTGGACGCTGTCCGGCGGATGCAGGAGGTCAGAATGGAGGTGGTGGCAACAGGCTGACAAGCTGCTCAGTAAGAAATTGTTTCCTGACGTCGCTGCCTTCGTCACCTTCATGAAGGACAAGTGTGGTGCTGAGTTGGGGAGTAACAATTCTTGTAAATTTTATT